CCGGCAAAACGGGAAAAGTACCAAAATTTCGTTAACCCCCTGAATAAAAAAAAAAAAAAAAAAAAAAAAAAAAAGCGAACTTTACATTCACGAAAAGCATGAAAGCTAGAAACATCAGTTAAAATTCGATTTAGCTTGGGCTAATGACTGCCTAAGTTGAGAATGCACTTGAAGTCGCAATTGATCCCCAAACATAAAACATTGTGTTAAGCACTAGCTTAGAGTTTTCAAGAATAGGAAATATAGTGAAACTGCTTATAACGAGCAAGAAGTGACTGTCGCATTTCCTCGTTATAATCGAGTGCTAGTAAAAAACAGGTTCGTGAAAAAATCATAAAAGTTCATACATACTTACTATAATTATAAATTTTTATTATTTCTGTACAGCACAAAAGAAGTTGGTAAAGTTGCTTTGAATTGTCTTATTGCCTTTTTCTTGTGTTTTTGTTCTTCGGAGGAGACTCATGGCCGGAAAACATAGTCATTTGCACCCCTGACTTCGTAAAATGTTTGAAGGTTTTCTTGCGCACTCAAAAACCACTGAGTATGTGGATGGCGAGTCAGCTTAAGATTCATCCCATTTGTCTTTAATCATCACCGCTTTCATTATTTTTTTTTATATGCTTTAGCCTGAATTTCAGCTACATTATCTTCGGGAGTAGGTATCTCGGAAGGGATAACATTGGCGTCAACAAATGCAGCATAATTTTCAAATTCTTCTCCATTCATTAGTGCGCTGAAAATGTTAGGTTTTTCCGACACTCGGAATGCTGTTATAGTGGACGTTCTCAAGATGCATATAAATTTAAGAGTCGTGGATATGAAAGCCTGTAGTGTTGTGTTCCCGGACATGTGGGAATAAAAGGAAATGAGCTGGCAGATATCACAGCGAAATCTGCTGTTCAACCGTCCAGTCGCCTCATTAGAGATCTGTTACACCATCAAAGAAAGGATTCGAAAAAAAAAAAAAAAAAAATCTGAAATGTTTCAGATTTTAAATTACGTCCAAAGGGGCTTTTTTTAACATTTTGTGTGTTACCTTTCTTTATTAAATATCATGTTCCTCGCACTTAAACCATAAGATCCAGTGCAACAGCAATATCGCAAAATAGTTTTAAAACGAGCATATCTTTAGAATTTCCGATACAGAGACTCACGCGCTGGAGATAAAAATGTTTTTTCTGCACAACGTTGCCATTGCTCGCTTTGAAATCCTTGAGTTTGTTAATCAAAAATACGTCAAAGTTTTAAAAAATAGGAAATCGATCATAAAACAAATTTCAAATTTGGTCTTCCACATGCTCATATTCGTTGGAGGATTACGTTATTCCTTCGGGATTCAAATCCCTTTGGACTAAAAATGGGTAACTTTGGGATGTTCAGCTTCACAACAAGTTGAGAACTGTAAAGGCCTAGAATTGAGCATTGGAATTTTAATAGAAATCGTAAGGAGGAAGTTTTTTTGGCTCCTCTCAGGATTGGTCACACTAGAGTGACACAGAACTATCTTCTGAAAGCTGAAAATGAGCCTATTTGTTTAAATATTAATGTTTGTCTATCTGTCCGTTATATTTTAATTGAGTGTCCAAGTTTTAATCTTCGTCGGAAATATTTTAATAGCAGTGACTTACCTCTCGACCGTTTAATCGGAAGACAGGTCAGTTGAAATCGTTTGAGTATTTAAAAGAGACTGGCTTTTATTATATGATGTAATGTGTTTTGAAAATTGCATATTGTATTTTAATGTGTGCTTTTACCTTGTTTTTATACGACTTCATCCTCTGGATTTGGTAAGCAATTTCAAAGCATAGTTCATTCAAGATTTCATCTACCTCGTGTTTGGCGCATTATAATCATTTTTGGTTTTGCGCCAATAATCGTATTCTCAGTCACTTTCCAAATTTTTAAAGACGTCTACTTCTTTCTCAGTGACCTTGCTCCTCTTGAGAAATGTCCAAACCAGCCTTACGGAAGCAGTTGGTAATGCATGTTAATGTAATTCATAAAACGTATCGCTTCGAGAGCTTTTACATTAGCATTTGAGATTGTTCCTATTTTTTCTCTTCTGTTGAGAAGCATCCAAATCGCAAAATGCTTACGAAAATTTGATTTAAAACTTCTGGTGATCCCTTGGTCACCAGAAAGCTGGATAACACTTGTAGAATTCGGTGGTAAAAATTCAATCCTGATCACTTGCCAAAATAGAAAAGGCCGCCGTCACGCACGTTTTCTTTACCAACTTTCGGTTGACTTCGGAATGTTGAAGAAATTTCTCCAAAAAAGGATTAACTGAGCTGTGCAGGTGGAAGTCAATAAAAATTTTGTGAATAACGAAATTATTGCTCGTTATGAACGGGTTTACTCGTTAAAAGCGAGTTATGCTCCCATAGACTTGACATCATAGAAACCAAGTATTTTCCATTTCCTCGCTAAATCCAGGTTCTCGTTAAATCCGAGTTCATTATAAGAGAGTTAGCACTCATTATAAGTACTATAATACGTGATAAGTATGAAGATCAGCTATTGGAAAGACGACACTTTTATGTTGAATATAGTTCTCACTGGAGTGGCGACATTAAAGAATTAATGTGTGACTTATCGAGTAAAATAAAAATTCAAATCCTCATTTACAAGATGGTTTTAGAACTAAAACGTGTACTTAACTTGGGAAGTATTCCATACAATTAAAAAAACATGAAAAAATTTGTGGGTAATTAAGCTTGTAAATTTTTTATGTCCGTATAAAATATAGCAGGGGTTCTCAACCGGGGTGACCGGAAAAATGCTCACAGGTATAAAAGCTCACAGGAAAAAAGCCCACAAGGAAATATGCCCACATAGAATAAAGCTCACATGGAAAAATGCTCACATGGAATATGCTCACATGGACAAATGCTCACATGGACAAATGCTCACGTTAACCTTTTCGCGGCGGTAAATAAAAGCATGAAAACTGTAGTAAAATTTTGCATGTACTGTAATATTTTGTACCACTGCCCCTGTACATTTTTTTCCTGTAACTGCCAATAATTAATTTTTGTTTCTTTACTCTATTCTTGTATACTTTTGATGTGTATCGATAGAAATTGATGTTTGAATATAGTTATTCAAGTTTGGAGCCAAAAAAGTAAAATTTCTGCAGAAATTTGAAATTTTAGAAATAAAATTAACACTTTCAGGCACTTTGATGATGGCTCTCAGTTAAACATTATGAAGCAGCCTTCAAAAAATCTCCTAAAATTACAAATTGTTACGAACGCTCTCATAACGCACTAAATTCATTATTTAATTGTAACCATCCCAATATGTGGCTTTTATTTGACGGGCTGAAAAAAGATTTAACCTCTTAACATTTGTTATTAGCTAATGTAAATACAGGATGTGCTAAACTAAAAAAAAAAAACATGAAAACTTACATTTGGTAATCATGAATCATGTAAGAAAATATGATGAAATCGATGATAAAATTAAATATTTTAAGTAATTTAAATAAAATAATCATTCTAAAATCTCATTCATTTTATTCTTCTAAATGTTTATATTATAAAATGTGTAACTTGTATTTATTATTATTTTATTATTTTAACAATTAAAATTGTAATAATTTTTTCACTGTATAATTCTGTTTCATGTTACTTCTACTTCCTTTCTCCTCTCCTTTACTTAATTCAAAACGGCCCATTTGTTAATCTTGTGTAACAACTGAATCTACACATAAGTTATAAAGTTTTTGAAATGTATACCATAGATGTTTTGGTAATTTAAATCATTTTTCTTTAGAAAATTCAAGTAGGTGAACGATGTTCAAATCGATTAATTATTGATTCATTAATGTAAGGATATTTCTATGTGAATTATTTATCAGTGAGCTTATTTCCATGTGAGCATACTTCTGTGTGAGCATATTTCTAATTGAGCTATTTTCCATGTGGCCATATTTCTGCGTGGGCTTTTTTCCTGTGAGCATTTATACCTGTGAGCATTATTCCTCTGAGCTTTTTTCCTGTGGGCTTTTTTCCAAGAATCCTCAACCGGTGGTACGAAAGAGAAAAATATGTGGTACGCAAAGAACCAAAGTATTTTTAACTATTTAAATCAAAAATTAAATAAAATTTTTTCGCTTTCTTAAGATTTAAATCAACGTTTATCATTTTGTTTACAGTGGACACCGAGCATTTGAATGATTTTGTAACTGTCCTTTGACCAGGAGGATTTTCTTTTAACATTAAACAACGTACCTTTGCAATAGTCGAAGATGTCCGTTTTTTCCTCGGATACTTGTTTGGAATTTTTGTCCCAATTGAGGCTCCAATTGGACGTTTGTTTTCTTTCTTGTTGATGATATTACCTATCGACGCTTTAGATATCACAAAACCATGACTCTCACATCTTTTTTGGATAACGGAGTATGCATATTTCTCTTCGGAAAGAGCGTCAATGTAGCCTTCGAACCACTGCTTTGTTAAATTCGCCATTTTTAATAAAAACAAAACTTTCAAGCCACAGACGATACTTTTGACTTTTGAAAACATAGTACAATTGCAATTAGTTCTTATGCAGCAAACGAATTTTTATTACCGCCTAACAAAATCGTATAAAAAATGTGCGAACAGCCTCTGTAGAAATAGCCAATAGGTTTGAAAATGGCAAAATATATTTTGTAATATTTGAGAAATTGAAAAATAATCACTGTAAAATATAGTGGTGTTTTTCAGTTTTTGTTTTGATGGTAACGCGTTAGTCAAAAGGCTGAGAACCGCTGGTGTACAGAAAAAAAACCTGGACCTGTTAGAAGAGAACTAAGTACAGTTTTGAAATCAACATGTCCAAGTCTAAAACAGCTCAAAAATCGAACACAGCAGAAAATGTGTTGCAAATTGTTCCCCAGTGTTATCTATGGCTAATTCTTATGATCTTGCGCATTATGAGCATAACATTTCTGTTTAATGCATAGGGCATATCATTTAAAATGTATTCTAATGGTTAAATTTGTTTTTCAGCAAAGAGTAAAGAGACAAGAATTCGACGCTGATGGTAAGCAAATTATTGGTGATTTGTTTAAGATAATAGTTATGAATTGTGGTTAATTTTATAAGTATTTACTTTTAATTAATCTTGCAAAATTTAATAATTCTTTTGATAAAAATACCAACCTTATAACCTTATATCTACTATTGTTTATGCTTCTCATTTAACGCTTTGCACGCACTCCTAACATACTGTTTCTCATACGCAAATGAGCCTGTTTCCCTTAGAAAGTCCTCCACGAAGGTTTCCCTCCCCTTAGGCAGATAGTCCTAGTGTGCTTTGCCATAATTAAATACACCACACCACACTACCTCATACGCAATAAATGAATATCCAAAAGCATTTTTTTATCGATAGCAAAACAGCAGCTTTCGTTTTCATTCTGTGAAAGCCGTTTTGAAGTATAAATTAAGAGGTTATACCTTTCCAATGTGGTAATCTTAAAAATATTTTTATTAATGTATTCTTAAATCCAAATAATATGCGCAATGGAATACCATTGCGTGAGCTAACTTTAAATGTGATATTCCCAAATGTCTCTTTAAACCAGCATTGCACGATGAAACTTCGGGATATTATATAATATTGTTAACTCTAATTTCAACTCCTCGTGTTCCCTCAAAGTATACCACGAATTTTACACAAGTAAATCATAGACAGAAATAACAAAATGAACAAACGTACAATAGCAGTGCAAATGGGAGGGGAATTATTAAAAAAATAAATAAAAACTAGTACGCAAGCAAAAATTGTAAAAGAAATTTTAAAAAAGTTAGTAAAAGTAAGTTTAAATAAAAATTTTAAAAGTCAAGGTAAAATTAAACAAAATAAAAAACCTGAAAGCATTCAGATTTTATATTACGCCCAAAAGGGCGTTTTTTAACGTTTTGTGTGTTGTCTTTATTAAATATCATGTTCTTCGCACGTAACTCATAAAATTCAGTTCAACAGCAATATCCCAAAATAATTTTTAAATGACTATATCTTTAGAATTTCTGATAGTCTCGCGAGCTGGAAATAAAAATGTTATTTTTTCGTACAGTGTTGCCAATTGCTAGCTTTGAAATCTTCGAGTTTCTTAATCAAAAAGTCGTTAAGTTTTACAAAATATGAAATGGATAATAAAACAAATTCCAAGTTTGGTCTTTCATATGCACATATTCTAGTGGAGCACAACTTACTGAAAATGTAATGTGTTTAGGTACCGCTGTCTTTTTCGCAGCGCAAGAAACATGCATACATTCATGCAGATTCTTCGTTATTTAATTTCTTTAAATATAATGCAGTTCTCTGTTATTTTGAGGCAGTAATTTGAAAAGTGAACATATATTTATAGTTAATTAACGCTAAATGCCAAAACGAAATTAATAACCCATCTGTGCTCATAAAGTAATAAAATAAAGAGAACACAATTCGTGGAATGTCTCGTCGTAATTCCGTAAAGGCTGAGGTATAGAAGAAAGAAATTTCTTCTCTCTTTCAGTATTTTAGAATCGCCGAATGTAGTTGAATACCTTCTCGCATGAAATTTGTTGCGTTAAGACAACAGATTGCATGCGAGAAGCGTAATGGGCATGTTCTGAGGTTCCAAAGAGCTACCAGATATTTAGCATGGATCGATTAAGACAACAGCACAGCAGTTCCCAACCTTTTTCCTTCTCGTACCCTTTACTGAAACTGTATTTATAGAGTATCTCTCACTTCAAAACCATACCCCTCTTGTGAAACTAACGTTTGAACAATCTTTTGAGGCCTTTAAATGGGTCATTATGCTCTTTTTGGCTTCGTTTGTTATTTGAAGTTCATTTTTCTGACAAGACTTTGTTTAAGGGTCTCGAATGTTTCTTTCGGCTCATAATTTCCTAGAACTTAAATGAATTTTTTTAGCCACTTTGAAGCCAATTGTCAAACTGTTCTGTAATCATAAACGGAATTAATTTATTTTTGAAAGAAAATATAGAGGAGTCATGCAAGGTTTACAGTTGTTTACACTTTGTATTATTTGTTCATAATACAGTTGTTGTACTTTATAATATTTATCGGTGCGAAATTTCAAGCACAACTGAAATAGGTGGTCTCCAAATAAGTGTTTGGCGCAGCCCAAAATCAGAACTATTATGCACAAGTAGTTTCTGTTCCGTAAAAAGATCTACTTTTGACTATTTATTCATTTTTATATGAAAGAAATTTTACTTTTATTTTGGGAAATTGCGAATCGTGTTAATACGTTTTCTGGGGGTTTATTAACCAAAGGCCGCCATGGACTTATTATATTAAGCATATGATGGGGGGGGGAAAGCCAGTGATATCGACAATCAGCTCTCTGTACTCCTAAAAAAATATATTCAGATTATTCTAGATTATCGTTCAACAAAAAGAGGTTGCCTCTGCCTTATTATAAGAGCGTCAACATCAAAGGCAGACTTCCGCAAACTTCAGTTCATTACCTAATTAGAAACATGACCTGATTGGAAGAAAAACCTGATCCATGATAACTTGAAAATGAACCTTACTAGTGGGCCACATTACTAAATAACCATTTCAAAATTTTCAGAAGTTAGTTACCAGCCATCACAGAAGATACTTTTAATGTGATCATACCATTTGCTACTCACATGCTAAGAGACCACAGCTTCGGAATCTAGCTTTAACTGACGACGTTTACTTGTTTTCTTGCGTGGTGGGACTTTTGTGTCTTGTCGCTTTCCATCCGACTGGCCCAGGAGATAATGGTCTCCCCATTTTTTCCTGATTTTCGTGACCATTCTTGGAGTTTCACGTGCTAGCTCCTCATTCATGTATCCTCAGAGACATCTTATGGAGGCCACATGAGCAACTTCAAAATCCGTATCCGAAATTTTACATTTAACAACTTTAAAAGAATTGGAATTTAGAACAAAATTATATACTCATGAAAGAGAGCTAAATAGCCTTGATGGTTCGCTCAGAAATGAAACTATAATTAGCTGCTAATCGCTGTAATGTATGTTGTGACAGGACAAGAAATAGACTGGTTATATATGAATAGTAGAAATTGTTTTCCTTTCATCCAATACCAAATTCAAATTTCTGAAAACTTTGCATTTTGTTAGCATTATTTATATAACTTTTATTTTCCACCATTTCTGATACTTTTTAAAGAATTCGCAGTACCTCACGAACTCCCAAGGGCACGCGTACCACAGGTTGGGAACCGCAAGAATGAGTTCTCTAGAAAATATTTAGACCGTTCTTCTAAGATTTTGATTGCAGAATGTTTGGATATGAATAATACTAAAAGAAGTAAAATTCCCTCATAAAGCGTAGACATTGTAGTATTTTTTACACTGTGTTTCCTCCTTGCATACAAAATGCATTAATATCTCATAAAGTCCTGAAATATAAGGCGTCCGTAAAGTCATGGTGCACTTTTGTTCGGTTACAAGCTACAAAACAAGACAGAAATGTGAAATCTTCACCAAACAAAAGGAAAACTCTCCAAGTTTCTGTAGTATTATGTGCAAGCATGTGCGCACACAGGTGATGACGCAGCACCACGAAATGCGAGGAGCAGATCAAACCATCCATGCCCACGCCAGTCGAGATGTGGACCGTACAGAGGAAAGTTTAGTGTCTTCTGTGGCTTCGAATCCGCGACCAAAATGCAACGTGAATATCGTCGCATGTACAACGAAACGCCACCACATAGAAATAACATTAATCGGTGGGAGAAGCAGTTGAAGGATACCGGCAGTTTGTTGGACAAACCCCGTTCTGGCAGACCATCGGTCAGTAACGAGTCTGTAGGGGCTATATGAAAACGTTACCTAAGAAGTCTTTACAAATTGTAGCTGCTGCACGCTATCAAACCGACGGATACACCCAAACGATTTGCGTTTGCAACAGATATGCTTCACGAGGTCGACAATGATAACCGATTTCTGCAGAAGATTGGTTATGAGGCAACATTCCCTGTTAGTGGACATGTTCATCACCATAACATCCGAATATGGGCTACTAAAAATCCTCATGCCAATGTAGAGTACGAAAGTAACAGTCTTACAGCGAACGTGTGATGTGGCAAGATGCATGATAAAGTGATAGGACCGTTTTTCTTTGCGGATTAGACTGTGACTGCGTGGATGGAGCCCACATCGAAGTGCACTGAATAGGTATGAAACTTTAAGAGGTTTTCTTTTGTTTGACGAAGATTTCACATTTCTATCTTGTTTTGTTGCTTTCTTGTGACCGATCAAAAGTGCACCATGACTTTACGGACGCACTGTACATAGTATATGTAAAATACTGGAAAGAATCGTTGCTTGCATGAGACTCATAAAGCGTCGAAAGAATACAGGTGATGGCTTTCTTTGGGTACTTCACACTACTAAATTTCCCGCACACTACTATTTATTTGGTGGGCTTCCATTTAAGACATACTGACTTCCCAGGATGTGTAAGTTGGGAGTGCTGCAATGCGCGATACACTTCCAAAATGCTGGGATCTATGTCGACCTTGCTTTGGGTTGGTAAAGTCATGTGTTCCGCCCTTCTGAACGAAGTACCGGAGACTCCTTTTGAACGTCTTACAGTGCCTGAGGAACCCCCTGCACCTTGTGACTTCGGAGTGGGAGCGCCAAATTTGGACATGTGCACGTGGTTAATACCTGTCAATGCATCGGACCGCAGCAAATGGAGACTCGGTATGGGAGAACTGTCTGCGTGGATTGGAGGACCCAGAGCTGATCACACGATATCGGACAAACAAGGTAATAAACTGGATATGTTTATGTATCTTAATTAACTTATATTCAAACGTTGAGAGTTTTTTTTTTTTATTTTGTGCATGTAGACATTAGAAAAGTTTTCTAATTTCTTTGAAAAATTTTCTGATGTATTTTCAAATAAAACTTTTCTTTGAAAATACATTAGAAATGAATTTTTCAAATTTGAATACATTAGAAATTAGACTAGAAATGAATTTTTCAATTTGAATACATTAGAAATTATACTAGAATGAATTTTTCAAATTTGAATCATTAGAAATTGACTAGAATGAATTTTTCAAATTTGAATACATTAGAAATTAGACTAGAAATGAATTTTTCAAATTTGAATACATTAGAAATTAAGACTAGAAATGAATCTTTCAAATATGAATACATTAGAAATTGGACTAGAAATCTAGAATTAGAAATTCTAATGTATTTCTTTGGAAAATTTCTGATGTATTTTCAAAGAAAATTTCTTTGAAAATGAATTTATCCTTCTAAATGTATTTTCTACATTAGAAAAGTTTTCTAATGTTACGTTAGAATCTAGTTTTTCTTTGAAAAATTCTGAGGCGAAAACATGCATTTCTCTAATGTTTAGAATAGTGGTTTTTATATTATATTTTAATAGAATTTCAAAAGTATGCCTATATCTATATTTTCCAGTTGTTTATATCTATATTTTCCAGTTGTTATAAAATAAAATGTTTGATATAGTTTTGCTAAACTCGGGGGGGGGGGGAAGTTCAATTCATAATGTCCGAAGTCATTTAAAATTATTCGTAACTTGTGTAGTTTATAAATAAAAATTCGGCATTTTTTCTCGGTTTCCATTTTGAAACATCACGAATTTTAGTAAATTATTAAAAAAGTATCTTTGAAAAACTTTTCATGCAGACGCAAGTTTCTCTGAATTAAGTTTTTCTTATGATGCCATTAAATGACATTATTCTAATTTACATACTTAGAAACACATGTAAAGTGTAATATTAAATGGTTACTTAAATAGTCAATTAGTTGAATTTAATAGTTCAAGAGTTTCACGTTTTTAAATATTTGTAGTCTTAAAAATTATATTATAATAATTTTACAATTGCCAAATATTTTTACACAACGTATCTGAAAATAGATAAAGATAAGACAATACAGACAAAGAAAAAAACGAAAACGTTTCGACGCATTCTTTTTATAATATAAACGTTCATTTTCCTTGCTTTGCACGTGACGCAGTCATTTCGTCTGTTACTTATTTAAACTTTCCATGTTGTTCTATGTCTTAAAATTAGAAATTAAAGTTGATGATTTAAAACTGCAATAGTATATTGCATTACAAGTGAAAAAATTGACAGTTTTACTCACGCGTGTGTCTGATTTGCGCAATACTTAATGGGGTTCCACAAAATTTTTGTAAATATTATGGGGTCCTGCGGGGTCGCGAAAAAATCTCGGTGATAAAAAAAGGGTCGCGACTGAAAAAAGTTTAAGAAACCCTGATGTAGATATTCCGCAGGAACTATAGATTCAGAATTCTGAAACAATTCCTATCCATAAAATAGGTCACAAACTAAATTGTATTCCATTTTTTTTCTGTCTAAAGTATAGCCAAATTTTTATATTACATGGAACTAATTTTTTAATTTTAATCAATCAAACTACATCAAACGGCTAATCTTTGGAATATGGTAACAGGTAGTTTGGTGACGTTTTGGTAAGGCGATAGAGGTTACTAGCTAGGACTTTAGCAGTGTACATGGATTAAGTCAAGAGTGTGCGCAATGCCATTTTTGTGCAATTCTAGGATGTTTTTTAAAGTGAAAATAGGTTGACGTGTACATGGATACGGTGTTGTATGTACAATTCTTAAAAACGCGGCAAGCAGTTTGCGATTCTGCACTTTCTCCCAATTTCGCAACTAATCTTCGTCATGTTTAAGCACTTTTGTTCCATAAAAGTTCTAGCGTATTCGTATAATTAAGCGTAATTCGGCTAGCAGATTATTGGAAAAAAAAATTTTGAGTAAAAAAAAAGCCTTTACTTTGTGAAAACAAAATGGCGTCCAAAAACAAAACACTAGCAGTTTGCTGTAGCAGGGTTGGTTGCCAAAAAATCGGCAAGTTACCATAATCCGAAGATTAACCCATCAAACTTGTTGAAATGCGCGATGTGGACAGTCATAAATATTTTAATCATATTACAATAGCACTTCGTAAAATTTTAAAACGCTAATTTTGCAGCTTTTATTGCGCAATAGATTTTTAGATTCAGTTCGTTAAACGAGCTTTACGATCAAATTGTATGTAATTATTCATTAATTTTTTGATTGATTTGCTTAATGAGGGACGACTTTTAGGTGGTTATGTATTCTACGAGACATCTTATCAAGAGGACCTTCATCAACCCGTGGTGCCTACTATACCGAAAGCTGATCGGCAGGTAGTCGGAGGAGCTCGACCATTACCCCAAGGTGCAGGAGGATCTGCAACCGATCCTAGTGAGCAACCGGGAGTAATTGACAGTGCGTGGTTCATCAGCCGAAACCTCAGCCGAACTGGACCCATGGGTTATTGCCTTAGTTTCTATTACATGATGGAAGGACTCAGTGCTGACCGGTTAATCATCCATCTGAGGGACATGGAAAGAGCTGAGAACGCCTCTTTGTGGGAAATAAGGGAAGGCGTGGAAGGAAGCTGGACAAAAGGGGAACTTGCATATACCTACGATGGATTTCATTTGGTGAGAATTTTAAAAAATCATATTTAATGCAGGAATTTAAATCGAATCCAGGTACTTTTCCGTTTTGCAGGCGCAAACGATAAAAGTCGCCAATAATGGTACAACTGATGCCAAACGGAATAGCTTCGTTGGTAACCTTTTAGGCTTCATTTTCAAAACAAGTCGCAGCCTTTTCTTATCAGATTGTCTCTTAAAATGGCATCAATTACATAGAATTTTACAAGATAGTTAAATTTTATATGCCCTAAGACCATTCGCGGTATTAAATCAATTAGGATTCAATCAACCGCTCAACCGAGGGCGAAATATATAAAAGGCAAAATTAAGGGTTAAATTCATCAATTCTAATGACAGTGCACAGCGGTTTTACATAATTTCTGAGTAAGCTATTTTTAGGAATTGAAATAATTCTCGCATTTAAACTTGTATTCCAAATTAATATTTAACTTGAAATTAATGTAGATAATTAGATTTTTGTAGCGTAGTTTACGTGAGATGAGATCACGGTACTTACGTATTATCGCAACCAGGTTGACGCTATTTGTAAGTTTGAGTAAAAAAGTATGAATAGAAAGAAAATGTACATTTATTAATTACAGATAATTTTTAATACAGTTTTTTATATTATTTTGTTTTAAAAATATAAATAGCAATTAAACCCTTCCGGTTTCGAATTTGAATAAGTTGCAGAATTATTTTTTCGGCGGAAATCTTTTGGCTATTGCTTTTAGCACTGATTCAAAACTGTATTCGCCCTAACCATGTACACGTCGACTTATTTTTACTTAAAAAAAATCCCAGAATTGCACAAAAATGGCATTGCGCACACTCTTGACTTTATCCATGTGCACTGCTATTTTCTCATAAATTACAAAAATTTGCACGAAAATGCAGGAAAATTTTGTGAATCTCCACATGCTCTTTTTACAAAACTACGTATAACACGTAAGGTTGCCGTAAGTAGGGTCGCCAAATTTGGCAGTTTATGCGAATTTTGGCCTGGTTGCGTTAATACGTAAGTACCGAGATCACTTAGGGTCACGTGATACGAACCGGCGAATCAGTATGTTGAACCATGAAAGCATAGTAAATTCTTAAATGAATGTCTCTTTACAAATTTATTGTCTTTATTTATTGGCTTTTTACAAAATTTTAAACCAAATTAAAATGTTTATGCCTTCAAAATAAAAAATTCTTAAACTAACATTTTTTATGTGTATACTATATGCTGTCGCCAACAAAGTCTGCTTGGAGAGATTTGTGCCGGCGAAACGGAAAAGTACCCGAATCCATTCATAAATATTCTCGTTAATGTTAATTGATTGTTATTTTGTCGGTAGTATATACAGTTACTTTATAAATCGGTTAGAGTTGACTTTACGGTACCCATTGTATTATTGCGATGTTGTTGTTTCATTTGTCGCCGAGTTGTTATATCATTTATGGTAACCTGACTAGTTGAATGTCATGGAAACCATATTATGACGTAATCGTTTGCATTATGCCGGGAAATTTTGAATCATGGGATGTTTTGCAAGGGCTTTTATGGTGTGTGTTGCTTAAGAAGTACATTGTTTAGACATGTACAATGGCTGAATGTAGTAAAATTAATTTGAAGTTTCTGTACGATTTGGAACGAAGAGGAAAAGTGCATTAATTGATTGCTGTGTAAATGAAGGTTTACTTAGTAGCCCATTTTTCGGTCAGTCCGGAACTACGTAGTATATTTTTGACTCGTATTTTTATGAATTTATGTGGCGACGCCGATATACGGATTCTAGTTCAAATAATTTTATGAATTTTATGTATGCTGTTAAGGAATTTCGTATGCCACAGACTGAAGACTAACGAATTTCTAAATAAGGTAAGTAGATATTTGCTTTGTGTAATGCTTAAATGCATAAAAGGTTTTTCATTTTTTGTTATTTTATTGTTTGGTTTAAAATGTAGTTTATAGAGATTATGTATTTTTGTTTGCTTGTAGAATTGGGTGCTCTTTGACCTTAAGTGAAAAATGGTGTACGTGGACAAACTCAAGGAGTGCGTAAGGCAAATTGTGCAATTCGGTGATTTTTTAAAGTGAAAATAGGTCGATGTGTACATGGATAAAGCTAAGGAAGTGCGCAATGCCATTTTTGTGCAATTCTGGGATTTTTTTTTTTTTTTTTGAAGTCAAAATAGGTTGATGTGTACATGGATACCGAGTTTGTGCAATTCTTTGTCTTGTTATTTTGGCTTAGTGTAGCGGCAATTCAGCCTATTTTGTGCAATTCTCTGATAATTTTTTAAGTGAAAATAGGTCCATGTGTACATGGATATCGAGTTTGTGCAATTCTTTGTCTTGTTATTTTTGCTTTGTGTCGCCACTACGAAAGCCAAAATAACAAGTCAAAGAATTGCACAAATTCTGTATCCATGTACCACCAAAAATCGCCAAGTTTCGCCAAAGGGTACCCTAAAATATACTTTCACCTACAAATCCTGAAAATGCTGTTGGAGAAATTCAAATACGATATGAAATTTTGGATAAACATTGCGCTCAATACAAATGTGCTTTACGAAGCATTTGAATTATGTTATAAATAACTAGCACAAGTGGTAACGCTCAGTAAATGTTGTATGTTACATTGTGTACATGCTAAGTATATTGTGTATAAAAGGGTAATAAAAATAAATTGTCATTGCTAAATGGTTTAAACTTTGTTTTCCTAATTTGACTGGGCCTATAGATCATGAAGTTTGTTCCACTAGTTAAAGTTAACCAAGTTAAATACTTTAAGCAGATAACAGTGATATAAAAAAAATGTTTTTCAGATCATATTTGAGGCTGTTACCAAACCATCTAATGATCCGGCGAGACCGTTCAGAGGGCATTTTGCTTTGGATGATATGGTTTTTCAAAAAATGGGAAGCCCAGATCTGGATAACTGTTTCGGTAAGTTTAATAATTGTATTAATATCTCGAAATATTTGAAATTTTGGCTTCCTTTACTCATTAGCAATTAAAATGTATTGTATCCTAATTGCTAAATTTGTCTTGACAATTCTGTATAATTACTAGTAGTGTCAAGACATTTTTACTTAACATGATGAGCCCGGCGCCGAATTTGCTGTCCTTTCCGTTCAGCCAGTCACCGTCTGCCAGCTAGTTTCGGTTATCTCGGTAACAAAATCTGCTTAATCCAGATTCGTCACAAAATGTTACCAAAAACGTTGTGACTTATTGTAATATGTGTAAAGCTAAGCCGTATTTTTTTAGAATGTTTCAATAAATTTCATTAAAACTACATTTGACAACATTTCATTGAGACTATATTTATTTTTTAACTTTAATACTGTCGGTCCTGTGGACCGACGCGAGCCAAACGAAAATTCCAGTGCCGGTCGCCAGGGACCGATGCCGGCCACTCGGAGAGTTTATTGCCGGACTCAACGTGTTAATGAGGCTTTAGTTTTGAAATATATTAACATATTATATAGACAGTGGACTTTAAAATAGCTAAAAATCAAACAAATTATTGGATTTGTTTTTTTTTTACTCTCATAATATTCTATATACGAAGCTGCATCGTATGCTAATAACCGGGTTCAAATATTCTAATTTTTAATGAAGTTACAAGCATTTCAAATGTGTAAACACATAAACTTTACCTTTTAAATTTTGGAGAAATGTAAAAAAAAAATGTATTTCAGCAGTTATTTATTGATGTAATAATTTATAATATTTGCCCAAAAGAAGTGTTTATTTCTAAAAAAAGGGGGCTAGAAATGTCAGTATTGACAACTATTAATGAATTTAACTTCGGCTGTGTGAATGCTGTAGGAGTTAAGAACTGGAAGAAACAAACTTGTTTTCCCTACTCGTTTGCAAAAAAAAAAAAAAAAAAAAAAAAAAAGCGTGATCAACATCGCTTGAACCAAAGCAAAAGGAGTTTACCTACTTGGAAAAAAAAGAAATAGTAAAAAATATTGTAAAGCATTGAAAGCTAATATAAATGTAACAGATGAAGGGTAAAACATATGCTGCGAGTGAATTTTAAGTTTCATTGAGTATAATGCATAAACTGTTTCTACCTCTAACTTCGAATCACATACCAATTTGCGATGTTTTTCTCATATTTAATATTATGGGATTAAAAATAGTTAAATGATACGAAAATGTTATCTAGTGTCTTTATATTCATATTTAAAGTTAATTTGCTGTTTCTCATGACCGTGTATTAAAGGTAAGTTTGAAGAAAAACTTAAAATTTGGTTTTCTGAAAACAAAATTTTTCGCAGTTCGTATGTCTTGAAAATGCTCCATGCGTCTCATTTGATTTGTAAAAATGAATGATATTTGGAGAAAATCTGTTATGTTCAGTAGATCTAAGCATGCATTTGATATGGGTATAAGAAGTTTTAAAATTGTGAAATGTTAACGTGAAAAAGTGCATTTCCGAAAAACTGGGTTTACGTTCACCAAAATCCTTTTTAAAAATTTCTGATCCATCATATCAAGAACGGATACACAAAACCTTTGGTTAAGTCTTTTTAAAACAAAAAGGAAAATAGGAAAAAAATATTGAAATAAAGTAAGGAGCGTTTTAAATCTTTAATTAAATAATATTGTTTAAAAGTTTTAATTAAAAAAAATTGAAATTTTGATCATTATTTTAAAACTCTGTTATTATATTATGTAAAATTTCTTGTTGAAAACGCAAAAACGTAAAAAATTAGTTTTTAAAGTCCAGCGTCTCCTTAAATTTCAGCATGGTACTGTACAGAATATTAGAAAGATTTAAACGAACACCAATTTCAATAGTCTTCTCTTACAGGTCACTGTACCTTCGAAGGTGGATTTTGCGGTTGGACGAATGACGTAGAGGATGATTTTGATTGGGAGTTAGGTAGATCTAGTAAAAGTTTTCTGACGGGACCTTCGCGAGATTTCAGTAGTTACAATAGAGACGAACAGACAGGTAAATGCTCTTTATGAAAATTTTTGATTTCCTTAGACTGTAATTATTCACCACAGATAAAGATGTTTTATTACCCTTAGACTGTAATTATTCACCACAGATAAAGATGTTTTATTACCCTTAGACTGTAATTATTCCCCACAGATAAAGATGCTTTAATTATTCACCGCAGATAAAGATGTTTTATTACCCATTCATTTAAACCGATATAAAGTACAAAAATGACACAATTCAGTTTGTCGAAGTTCTAACACTAACCATGATGTTACAGAATCTAAAGCAGACGTTGACAACCCTTTTTTGGGCTGCTGGTCAAAATCACCGGAAATATGCATATTAAGATGGCGTTTCGGGACGGTGATGTTTTCATTTTAAAACAATCTTTCATGGTCAACAATAAGACAAATTTTATTGAGAAAATAGTTACAAAATGCTTTAAATTTCAAACATAAATATTAAAATTCTAATTGTTATAAAAACAAACATAACTAAATTAACGTTTTATCTTCAACATCAATGGCTGAACTAGTGATTTAAATTTGACCAAGTCTGGTTTTTAGTTAGTCGTCTTAAGACGAGTTCAAGTATCTGAATTTTCGGTAGCTAAGCTGCTCGTATTCTCATTTAAAATAAATCTCATGCGGAAAAATATTTGCTCGCATTTATAAACTGAACCGAATGCGGGCGATACGGCAAACCCACTTTTTTCCTCCCTTCAGAATTTATTCTTGCACTACTGAACAAGTGCTACAGCTGAGAGAACTACGAAAACGACATTAATGTTGTCAGATCTGTTAAGGAATTATGGATCCTCGTTGCCAAACTTATCGATTTATCTTTGAAATAGTATTACAATTTTTATTTTTAAAAATGCACGCTTTTTACTACAACTGTGTAATAAAAAAACTTTTTTTATTTACAATAATTTTTTTTTATGTATTCTTGAAGTTTTCGTTTTCTAGTTGTTTTAAAAGTTTTTCACCACTCAAGGGGGTCACTCAGTGACCCGGGTCATAGTTTACCAAGGCCTATTCTAGACTCTGGTCGCCTTCAAGGAAGAAAATTAAATTAGTCTATAGATTTTAAATAAATACCGTAAAAACTAGACCCTGGTCGCCTTCAAGGAAGAAAATGAAATTAGTCTATAGCGTAAAAATATATTTTGCACTTGGGCTGATAATTATCAAATAGATTATGATCTCAAGATGCACAGCCAAAATAAAAGTTTGACATTTAAAATAAAGGTGTTTTAAAATGTCCAGATATTGAAAAAATATTTCTTCTTAATTTGGTATTTAAATAAAAAATTAAGTTCAGCAAATGAAAAAAAAATTTAATAATTCTAATATCCTTCAGTATCTCCAGTATCATGAACTATGAGCCTTAATCCTCTAAAAAATTAATCTGCTTAAGGTATACGGCTACATTTGACAACCAAATTTTGTAAAATAGTAAAAATAAATCTATTGTTGGCGTTATTTATCAGACTACTACATAAAATGATAGAAACAGGTAATAAACATCAGGGCTTAATTTCTAAAATTAGAAGTGCCGGAGCCCT